TGATCTGATCTGTTTGTGATCTAATCTGTTTGTGATCTGATCTGTTTGTGATCTGATTTGTTTGTGATCTGATCTGTTTACAATCTGATCTGTTTATGATCTGATCCATTTGTGATCCTGGATCCTTGGTCGATCTGTCCACACTTATAGATGAGCTAAGTGATGAGAACAGAAATGTCAGTTTCAACCCTCGACGAGGACGGACCCAGTGACGCTGTGGTTACTGGACCTGTTGCTAAAACAAGGAGCAGAGAAGCTGCTGAGACGTGTTGGAGAGTCAACCTTAGCTCTTTTCTCCTGTTTGTCTCAGGAGATGACTCGGAGACCAGAGGTCAAAGGTTTAGATCTGTCAGCGCTGATCTGGGACCAGCTGGATAAACACCTTTAGTTTAAGGCAGCCGTCGTAGTTAGAGTCCTGAACATGAGATTTTGTGGAAATGTTGTCTGCTGCTTGACTGGAGTCGGGTCACCGGAGGCATCAGAAACAGGAGAGAACCCCAGAGACACTTGCAGCTCGTTCTGGGGGACCTGGAGGTGTTCCAGGCCAGGGAAGATCCACCACCCCTCCAGAGACCTCTGGGTCTTCCCCTGGGCCTCCTACTAGTGTTGTGTCGAACTGAACTGAATCACTTTATGAACTGATTCATTCTTTTCTCAGTTTTTATTTCAATCTTTCCTGTAAACCAGATGTTTTGTGTCCTTAATAACATCTTTTTTTTATTTATTTTATTTTATTTTTTTAGATGGCCTCCCTTCTCCCCTTACAGCCATCCTCTCCACACCATTATTATGAAATATTTATTCTAGTGATTATCTAGTGTAGTTTTTTTTTTTTTTTAAATAGGATAGAAAGAAAGAAAAGACAAAGTAAGACTCCAAAATATAAGAAATATACACAAAGAGAGCACACGTCAAAACACCCGGCCACTGTCTGTTCACCTGCAAAGAACATGACAAAACACAGCAACAAAATACATATGTATAAAGAACTTAAAATATTCATGGCTTTGCAGTAAGTTTCCATAAATATATATACCCATACCTACGCCTATATACATACATACATACACATGAATATACACTCACATACATATCTATATATCTACATATAAAGCCTACATAAGCATCCCTGCTTCTATTTGTGTGTGGTTGTGAGCATGCATAAGTGTATAAGGCTTCTCTAATAGAACATTTAATAGTAACTGTGAAGCAGCAGAGACCCGACCCCCAAGACCAGAGGCAGACGAAAAAGGGGGGACCAGAGCCCAAGACCCCAGGAGGGACCCCGACCACGGAGCCCCCAGGGTCACCCCCCAGATCGGACCACAGGGGAGAACTGGAAGATCCCCCCAGCGACCACATACAGTGACCCCCCGGGGCCAACAGCGACAAACTCATAGGCCCCCGCCGGAACCCGCCGCACCGATGCAGGTCCAGGCACCGAGGCCCGGGCACCGAGGCCCGGGCACCGAGGACTCACACCACCCAGGCCAAGGCCCGACAGGGCCAGAGGACCCGAGCCCCACCAGGCAGACACCAGGCCGAGCCGACACACGCCCAAGCGCCCAGCCCCCGACACCAAGGGCCCCAAGCGCGCCGGCAGGCAAGGGCACACCCCACCAGGGGGCCATGTGATAGGGGTGCGATGCCAAGCACCCCCAGTTGTATCAACGAGGGGGCAGTCCGAGTCTTGGCCTAACAAATACCCATTCATACTTAATAACATCTTAATGATCAAATCAAGAGGACTTGTGAACGTGCTCCTGTAGTTTTGTGTCACTCTTGAACAACAGAGGGGAGTCTGTCAGAGGGCACGGAGAGATTCGTTCAGTGAATGAGCTGATGTTCGAACAAACAGAACTGCTGCTGAGGAGAGGTTCGTTCAGGTAGTTCTGTGTTGGAAGTGTTGCTGTGTCACTGCATGAATGACCTGCATGAACTCAAGGATTCTTCTGAAGAAATCTTTTCAGTGAAATGATTTTTGGGATCCGTTACACTCAAAAGAACTGCTGTTCCCACCTCTTCCTCCTGCCAGTGGGGCGTGCCCAGAAAACTTGTAAAGGGAGCGACATCCTCCTTGGATGCTCCAACCATCTCAACTTGCTCCTTTCGGTGCAGAGGAGCAGCGGCTCCACTCAGCTCATTCTTCACCATGACTGATGGAAGCAACATCCTCATTACTGTGGATGATGCCCCAGTCTGTCAATCCATCATGTGAACAAGAAGCTCAGATACTTGAACTCTCCACCCCTGACCC